CTGGGAAGCGAATCCACACCCTTACTCCACATTGCGTCGCTGATCTGAATCGCACGCCACCCCTGCAGAAAACAACAACAACAACCCACGTCCTTTTCAGATTTCCCAAATTGCGGGACTAAAAATAGCTTGGTGGAAAAGAAAGCAGATGGGGGAGTGAGGGGGGGGGCACTGTTTCTCTTCCTTGGTTTTCAATACAGGTAATCCTGGAATTGGGACCAGAATCTCTGGGGCCAAGGCGGATATTAAGCAAAGCACTGCAGTCCTTATGTAGATCATGTTATCCTTAAGCAATCCGGTTTCTTGTTAGTGGGAAGCTGGCTGGAGAATTATGTTTTCCTATCCTATCCTCTCTTCCCCTCTGTTATCCGTTATCCTATCCTATCCTCCCCTCCCTCTCCCTAGGCTATCCTCCCCTCCCTCTGTTATCCTATCTCCTCCCTTTCCCTTAGTTATCCTACCCTATCCTCCCTTCCCCTATCCCAGGGGTAGACAACCTTGGCTCTTTTATGACTGGTGGACTTCAACTCCCAGAATTCCTGAGCCAGCATGGGGGAACTATGGCCCCCTCATGACTCCTGGACTTCAACTCCCAGAATTCCTGAGCCAGCATGGGGGAACTAGGGCCCCCTCATGACTCGTGGACTTCAACTCCCAGAATTCCTGAGCCAGCATGGGGGAACTAGGGACCCCTCATGCCTCGTGGACTTCAACTCCCAGAATTCCTGAGCCAGCATGGCTCAGCTTGGAAACCTCTCCCTTTCCCCTCAGCATGGCTGGCTCAGGAATTCTGGGAGTTGAAGTCCACCAGTCACAAAAGAGCCAAGGTGGCCTACCCGTGGTATAGGCTCTCCTGCTTGTTGAGCAGGGGGCTGGACTAGAAGACCTCCAAGGTCCCTTCCAGGTTAGGATTTTATGAATTCAGGTCATTTATAGGGGAAAACGTGAGTCCCAGAGAAGCACAGTTCAGGCTGAGTAAGAGTCTAGAACAAGGGTAGGCAGCTCTTTTATGACTGGTGGACTTCAACTCCCAGAATTCCTGAGCCAGCATGGCTCAGCTTGGAAACCTCTCCCTTTCCCCTCAGCGTGGCTGGCTGAGGAATTCTGGGAGTTGAAGTCCACGAGTCAGAAAAGAGCCAAGGTTGCCTACCCCTGGGCTAGACCCTTTCAGATGTATGGTGGCTACAAGCCTCTTTGGCAGGGGTCTTCAAACTTGGCCCTTTTATGACTGGTGGACTTCAACTCCCAGACTCCCAGAATTCCTGAGCCAGCCACGCTGAGGGGAAAGGGAGAGGTTTCCAAGCTGAGCCATGCTGGCTCAGGAATTCTGGGAGTTGAAGTCCACCAGTCATAAAAGAGCCAAGGTTGCCTACCCCTGCTCGAGATGATGCTATCCTCAGTTATCCTATCTATCCTATTCTCCCCTCCCTTCTCCTATCCTATGCTATCCTCCCTTCCTCTCAGTTATCCTATGCTATCCTCCCTTCTTCCCCTCTATTATCCTATCCTATCGTATCCTATCCTCCCTTCCCCTATCCG